TCCTAAAGAGCTGAGCTCACCTCCAACATATAGCGTGTTAAAGGAACAGGGATAACACTGATTCTTGTTCTCCAAGTGACTGATGAAGGGAAGAGATGAACCAAGTAGACGATAAAAGTCCTTCCGGCAACACAACAGAACAACTCCTGTGTAAGCATTGAGGTACTTTACTGGAACAAAACAGAGAAGAGACCCTTCAAAGTTTAGCACAGGCTTTCAACGGGACAGGAGCAAAATGTAATTGTACCCAAAAAGAAACCCATGTTTCCTTAGCTGCTTTTAGCAGCAAGTTCGAAAATACGATGGCAAAGATATGGAAGCAGCCTATCTGTGCAGTGACTAATCATATTTAAATCCCAGTCTCAGACATGAAACTCAGTGACTGGTCTAAAGCCACCCAATATCTATAAGCAGCCCAACAACCCAGCTTGTGAGAATAAAATAAACTTCAAACACCTAACTTTTGGCACCTGCAAAGAATGAAGTCATAGGAAAAACTGCTTTTTGATTGGCTGAGGATTTTTTTTTAAATGTTCACCAAACTTAAATCTCAAGAGCAAGTGTGATGTTGAAGTGCAAGTGATATTTTCAACTTGTGTTGTAGCCTGTTCAGCTTCAGAGTAGTTTCTGCTCAGGGATATTCTGCCTCTGCCTCATCCATGCCTACCCGACAAATTACAAATGTTATCAGGCCCTCCCTATACAGATTTTCTACAAAGAGCCCCCTGATTTTTTGTAATTCATATCTTAAGACTGCTATACAAAATCATGGAGCCAGGTTAGCACTTAAGACACCAACACACCTCTGACACCAGGTATGCATAAACAGTCCCAAAACGCTAAATATATCCTGAATCTGCAGCCTTCCTGGGACTCCAGAAACAGGAGAATTGCCAGGTATTTGGGGGACCATAATATGTGGCTGGTGTGCTAGCAGGTCTGAAATTACTAGAATGGTCAATAGTTCTCAATAGAATAAAAATTTGTGTATCTTCCAAAGCACAGGACAGACAGAGAGCTAAAGGGAGATTGTAGAGGAACCCAAACTGCACAGATTTCCTTAAACAGGGGAGGTTGACACACTGGGCTGCAAGAAAGCTCCAGAAGCCAGACCTGAAAAAGCGATGGAGCAGCAGGCTAGTCCAAAGTCTCCGTGAATTCGTGCAACAGCATTTTTCACTGAGTTGTGAACCGTGCGCTCCTCGATAAGGTGCAGACAATGAGGGTCCTCGGAGATGATCTCGCAAACGAAGTATCTGCAGAGACGGGAGAGAAATGGGCATTATGGCAGAGCAAAAGGTGATGAGGTTGCTGAGCTACAAAGGGCCCATGAAACATTCACTCTGTCAGGCTCCTTTCCCAGCTATCACCTGCAGCAGCCATTCCAGTCAGGCTTACAGGAGAGGAAGAGATGGGGATTAAGGGCCTCTCAATTACAGTGGTACCTCGGGTTAAGTACTTAATTCGTTCTGGAGGTCCGTTCTTAACCTGAAGCACCATTTTAGCTAATGGGGCCTCCTGCTGCTGCCGCGCCGCCGGAGCATGATTTCTGTTCTCAACCTGAAGCAAAGTTCTTAACCCGAGGTAATATTTCTGGGTTAGCGGAGTCTGTAACCTGAAGCGTCTGTAACCCGAGGTACCACTGTAGTTCTGCTAAAACACCAGCAACCTTGGGGGATCCTTCTCCTCAAAGTCATTTCATTCCAGCTGGTCTTTGCTGGAATTCTGTAACCACGAAAATGTGACTGAGCTTGCTTTCCTCCTCCCCATCCCTTTCCCCCTCCGTGCCTGTAATGTTTATTACGGGACCGCCTCTCCTGGTATGTCCCACAGAGGACCTTACAGTCTTCAAACAAAAACATCTTGGAGGTCCCGGGCCATAGGGAGGTTAGGCTGGCCTCAACCAGAGCCAGGGCTTTTTCGGCTGTGGCCCTAATCTGGTGGAACGCTGTCACAAGAGACTAGGGCCCTGCGGGACTTGACATCTTTCCACAGGGCCTGCAAGACAGAGCTGTTCCACCAGGCCTTTGGCCAAGGCACAGCCTGACTCCCTCCTTTGGCAATCTTCACAGAACTCTAGCCCAATGGTTGCCATTAATCTGATTTGAACTGATTTTATAATGAAATGATTTTAGAATGTTGTATCATTTTACTGTTGTTAGCTATATTATTATTATTATTATTATTATTATTATTACGGACATTTTAAACCACTTTGGGAGCCTTTTTAGGCGAAGAATTTTTTTTAAAAGCAGGTTTCAAATAACTAATAAAGCAGGCAAGGCGGGGAGCAGCTAACCACAAAAGTGAATCGACCATTAGCCGCCTCAGAAAAGCGATAAGAGTTTTTTAAAAAGGAAAGAAAAGAGCCTCACCTGTTCTTAAACCTCACCATCTCTACAGTGAAAACCCAGCTATGGTTGGACTTCCGGCGACAGTGAGGTCATAGAGTGGCAAAAGGCCCGAACTTCCAGCACCAGTTGAGAGCCCCCATTGGCTATGTATGGACTTCGTGAGTGGCTTCGCTCTAGCCCTTGTAATCTCTATGGCGGAAGCCCTTAACACCACAGAGATAGGAAAAGGAAGAGTGACAACATCGCTAGGCGAATCCGGGAGCTTCTTCGTTGGTTTCTCTCAGCAGTTAAACTCTGTATTCTGCATCAACCGCCCGATACAAGGGGCGCTTCTGTTCATATCAGCCAATAATAGTTCAGAAGAGGCGGGCTTAATAGGGAAGGGAAAAAATCACATTCCCATTGGTCACGCCTCCTCCTTCCCCCCCCCCGCACTATTAGCGTACTAACCGTCATTACCTTTCAAAGTTCCCTCCCTCGGAGTTCAGCCGTCAGCCGACCAATCAGCGCTCATGCACTTCCTCTTTTGCCCGCCTTTTTTCAAGTTTAAATGCGATTGGTTCCCTCCGAGAGGGAAGGAGCCACGGAGGAGTTTGTTAACTTTTTCGCCGCTTGGTGGCGTGCGAGCGCTTTGCTCGGCTTTTTCCCGCCTAAAGTGCAGAGCGCTGAGGTGGGCAAAACCGTTTCTTGTTTCTCACCTCATGAAATACAGTACTCGTGTGTGGGTCGCATAAAATGAACAGAATTTTACCTTTTAAAAAATAAGCGTGGAGGGGGAGAAGACAGGCCACGAGTATAGTGTTTCACAAAAAAATAATATATATTTTAATTTAGCAGAATTCTATATACCACTTCTTTTTTTAAAGCAACAACAACCACCTCACGGCGGTTAACAAAAAGAATAAAAAAAAATAGTTTAAAAACAACTATGTCAAGCCTTCGATGAATAATTAAAATAAATAATAAGCTAAGACTGGGACTAAAATAACTATTGTAAACAAAACAAAAAAGAAAAAGTTAAAATCGACACTAAGCTAAAAAACACATGAAAACATGACAATGTGTCTGGATAGGTTTTGTGTAATCAGAAATGTCAGGCATGGAAAAGAGTACAGTGAAGGTCCGTGCATGATGTCGGGAGGGAGCTCCAAAGTATGGAAGCTGCTAAACTGAAATATTGATTTATTACAAAAGCAGACGGTATTAATTACATGGTGCCTGTAACAGGTAAGCAGTGCTTTTTTTCTGGGGGGATGCAGAGGTACACATACCCCTAAACATTTTGTGAATCTTTGTACTTTTGTCCATTTACTGTATTCCACCCCCCCCACCCAATTTGAACTATAAAATGGTGGTTTTCTTGAGTCAAAATGAGAGTACCCCTAAACATTTTTTAAGAAAAAAAAAAGCACTGGGGGTAAGGCAATCCGGCAGGTCAACTTCATGTGAAACAAACACATATACATAGACACATGTACGTGTAGGTATTTGACATGGTGCTTTTCTATTGTTCAAAGAACTGCAGATAATGTCCAATTAATGTCTTGTTCTTTTGAAGGGAGCTTTGTGTTAAGTTGTGGGTGAACATATCAGACGACACACCGATTCTTCAAACAGCTCTTGTTTATTCACAGGCCAGAACTGAACTGAAGGGTTCAGCCAGCCTGCTTATATAGTGCTCCAGTACAACGTAAGTGTAACAACTTTCTGAAACTATCCAATCACTGAACGTCACTTTCAATCCCTTATTTGCATATGTGGACCTGAGTGAAAACTATCTACAGTATCCCCCTGCTGGCCCAGGGTGAGAACTTCAGTACATAACACTTTGATTGAAACAGTGATCACTGAAGCTGTAGACCAAGGAATGAGGTAAGAGAGCCCATATATTGCTTCACTCACTTTTTGCCTCTGGCTCCACACACTACTGCCATGCTGGAAAGGTCTCCCTGGCTTTGGTGAGAAGGAAGGGAGTGGAAAATGGTGCTGGAATGTCAAATTGCTGGGTATCACGTGGGGAGAGTTCTGCAGCACCCATGTCCTGCTTATGGGCTTCCCTTTGAGGCAGCTATTCTGCCACTGAGAGGATGCTGGGCTAAATCAGTCTGCTTTGGCCTGAATCAGCCACTGGGCTCTTTTTATGGTCTTAATGCTTGGCTATTTTTTCCTCTACATCCATAAACTTACCATTTAAGGATCCCACCTCATGCACCTGACAAACGGGACTCCGATGGATCAAAAAGAGTCTTTTGATTCCTGCTTCGTCCCCTGGAACTACTTTGTTTTGGGGGTGCCTTTTCAATTTCTATTTTCCAAATGCAGATTCTCAAGTCACTGTTCTTCATCTTTCATGTTGCTTCTCCAGGTCACTGGAAGTTAAAACTCAGCAAAAATTATCTTGCATTCATTGTACATACATGTAACAGCAGGCACATTTGGATCTGGAATAATAATATTTGGATTTGATATCCCACTTTTATCACTACCCGAAGGAGTCTCAAAGTGGCTAACATTCTCCTTTCCCTTCCTCCCCCAGAACAAACACTCTGTGAGGTGAGTGGGGCTGAGAGACTTCAGAGAAGTGTGACTGGCCCAAGGTCACCCAGCAGATGCATGTGGAAGAGCGGGGACGCGAACCCGGTTCCCCAGATTATGAATCTACCGCTCTTAACCACTACACCACACTGGCTCTCAGTAAGGAACCCCTGTATCATCTGTAAATTCATATGCTGTAGCATAGGTGGTGATAACCAATTAAATACCAATTCCGATTCCCCCATCCTCTCCAAATTGATCTCATGCAGCAGGGATTAATGTCTACTCTACATGGCTCTGCTGGCTGGGGCTGATGGGAGTTGTAGTCCAAAACATTTCATGGACTGCAAATTGTGGAAGGCTAACCTATTACTTCAAATAGTGCATCTCCCTCTAACCCATGCTTTCCATGGTGGGTGGTACCAACTTCTGGGAGGCTGTGGGATTATCTAGGGTGGCGCTAAGAGCCAAGGGGGCAGCAGTGGGACGCTGGAGGTGTAAATGACTAACAGGCTTTGAAAACCTGATATCATTGGATCAAGTTCATAAGTTTTGTTTGATTGATTCAACTAAATAGTTTTAACTGGCTTTTATATAAATGTGAAATTAATTGTTACAGCTTTGAATTGTGTTATTTTCTTCCTTAGTGGGTTGTGTAAAGTGCTAATATGAATGATGCTTTTTATAGGGTATGGAGCACTGGGGATGAGTTTATGGAACCAAGAGAATGATGGCTTAAAAAGGATTGGGAACCACTGCTCTAGTCCATTGGTCTTCAGATGGTGGGTGGGCCTAACCAAAGATTAGCAGTGCTTCTGCCTTGAAAACATATATTGGAAAATGAATAATTGGTTCCCTGAATGCATGCTTAGGCTAAAGGGTGGCTCCTTGGTCTCAAAAGGGTGAGGGCTATTGCTCTTTTCAATGCAGGCCAGGTCACAAATCCAAAATACAGTACTGCAGGCAAAAAAAGGGTGGGTTGCTCTTTTCGGTGTTGCTCTATAGTATTCATTAACATAAGGTTTAAACTGGTTTGATGCTATTTAGTTGTTTCTTATTGTCAGGCAGACTGAGGAGGGCAAACATGCTATATAAATAAATAAAAACCCTCTCGCTGTTCATTAAGTGCAATTGCATCTCCCTAGTTAACGACTCGTTTTTCCTCCTTGTATTCCTCCACAGTCCTCTGGGGCTTTTCAGTTTGAAATGCTCTGCCTTATGTATATAAATGAAGGCCACCAACACAGCAGTAGGTGCAAGGATTCTTCCTTGTTGCAAACCACAGCCAGCCTGAATTTATTCAAATTCTTTAAAAAATTAACATTTCATCCCCAGTAAAGCTGAGTATGTGTGGTGGCAGCAGCAGCAGGGGGTGGGGGATATTTCCCCTCTGAGCCCCTGCTGGTTTGCCTGCTGGGTGCTCTGGTGGCCCCCCCATGATGTTGTGCAAGATGTTTATGGCATCCTTGAGAAAATTGGTGACATTATAGGAATGGGATGAGAGTGGCATCCTGTAGCTTCAAATGTTCCCTTTCTGCTCCCATCTGCCTCATTTGCACTTCAAACCTTGGCCTGCCTGGGCTTGAAGCAGGAAGCAGCAGACAGCCACAAAATTATATCCCCCTGGTTTTCACCCCCACTCGACTCCTCTGCTGTTGCAGTCCAGCTGGGCTCGCATAAATGCTCTTGGTGAGTTCACAAAGGACTCTATGGAACAGTTATCCACCTCCTTGCCCCCACTGCCTGCCTAGTGATGGGGTGGATGTGCCTGTGACAGACAATCCAAATTTCACCCCTGCTCCCCCTGCATGTTCACAAATATACCCCAATTCAATTCTGTTTACTTCTCTTTCCAGAAAATTGCTTCAAGCATCACAGAACAGGGAGATCAGATGAAGAGGTGGCAGGTTTCACTCTTGTCTGCTGCACGCTCCCTTAGCAGACTGATATGGCCAACACGGTGCCCATGGGCACTAATGACCCCACCCATGCCTCTCTATGGTTCCTGCAAAAAGTCTCTGTATACATTCCCTGTAAAATGCACAATTTGCTACTCCTGTTCAGTGGCCGCCAACCCTGATGGCTATGTACCACCTCCACTGTTGGAGGCAGTGTGCTCCAGAAAACCACAGGAGGGGGAGAACACTGTTGCACTCAAGCCTGCCTGCCTGAACTATTCATGGCCTTGCACCGCTACGGTTAAATCAGCATGCATCATAGAATCATACCTGAAAGCCACCTCAAAAGCTAACTCTGTGCCAGCACTGGACGTTTTATTTTGGGGTGGGTTTTTTTTGTATTTGTTTATTGTTGTTATTGCTGCTGCTGTTATCTCACCTTTCCTGCAAGGAGCTCAAGGTGACACATGGCTCTCTCCATCCCCATTTCATTACAACATGACAGAAGTTAATAAAATCATGCATGGCCTAGAGAAAGGAGATAGAAATTGATGTAGGTACCACCTTTTGGTGTCCTCCTCCCTTTTCTTTCATTCAGATGTGACAGCCATTTAGTGTTAAACCACACCCTTATGGCAACCATTTTGTGACTGACACCCGTAGCACTTTTTCAGAATTTACTATGTGATCATCCACTGGTTGATGACAGCTAGAGTAGATCCTACATCCCTATTTAGATGTGAACAGGGCAAAAACATGTCTAAGGGACACATGGTCAGCCTGCCTGGGGTCACTAGCCTTACAAGAAGGAAATGCATGGCTGTGTACATACCATCCTTTTAAAGCACATTTGAATCACATTCTTTCCCTTGAAGAATTATGGGCACTGTAGTTTACCACTCACAGAGTTACAATTCCCAGCAGCAACCCTTTACAAACTGCAGTGTCTAGAATTCTTGGAAGGAAAGTCTGTGCTTCGAACGTGCTTTAAAGGCATAGTGTGTATACAGTTATCCATTCCCTCCCACACCACACACTGCAACCCGAAAACCCGATTCCATCCTCTCATAAAAAGGGTTTGTCTTGGGACTGTTGCCTGGTATGGTCTTTATAAGCCTCTCTGATTTTCCTGGCATTTATTATTTCTGACGCATATCCCTCTTTAAGTTGAGCAGCCTGTACATCTTTTCATTGCAGTTTCAATGTTCCCTGACTGAATCTGGAGAGCCATTCCTGCCAGCCAGTGTGGACAATACTGAGCTGGATGGGCTACTGGTCTGATTCAATAACCAGGTAGATTCCTGTGATCCTAACCTCACAACATTTGGGGGTCTGAAAAAACTTCTCTGTGTGGTGACTTAAGACAGAAACGTGGAAACATAGAAAGCTGTCATGCTGAATTGTGACTTTTGGTCCATTTAGCCTCTGTATTGTCTACCCTGATAGGCAGCCACTTTCCAGAGTGTCAGCCAGAGGTGTGCCCAGCCTGCCCTTGATCCTAGAGGCATCCTTCCTACTCCCTAACCATAGATCACCTGGGCTGCTTACACAAAGCCCTAGTGGGTAGTCCTTGGAAAGGGCTCCAGTGACACCCCCTAGTGACACCTTCTGTCCTCTAACTGTATGGGCTCAGGTTGCTGCCACCCAGGCCCCCTAATTCCCCTTCCCCATTGAACAAAGGCGCAGCTGGGTCTCCAGCAAAGCGGGCCGCGTGAGTGCGGTCTCCCCTGTAATCTGATAGGACGTGTGCACAGTGCGTGGCGGTGAGCTGGGCTCTGTGCGCAGCAAAAGGAATCTATTTTCAGCCCAAGAGCCTGATTAGGAGAGACACAGAAGCCAAAGCAATGGAATCTTCAGTGAGAGAGAGAGAGAGAAATCCTTCTTCCTTCATTTTCCCCAAGATACCACTGTAGCTACTATTATATGGTTTATAGCGAGACAATTATTGCCCATGACAGTAAGAGTTGGATAGATGCCAATATGATGTAGAAAAAGGAAGCTTGCGGCATTAGATAACAAGTAATTAAGGTTGTTGTTGTTTATCAGACTTCTTCAACTAACAAGCACTTACCTCAAAGAATCCTCAGAATTGCTGTTTGTTCAGGGTGATGGGAATTGCAGTTCTGTGAGGGGTTAAACTACAGTTCCTGGGGGATGTATTTTACATTTATTATGCATATGCAGTCTTAATCCACTTTTCTCCCAACCCCTAATAGTGTGACTACTATTTGTTTAGAAACCCCATCATGAGTGGGCTAATGATGCGACTAACATCCATTCTGGTTTGGCCCTGGGAGGTCCGTGAGCCAGGTGTGATGGAAACAGGCGACGCTGAAGTTGGTTCCTTCTCTGTGTGCATGTTCAAAATGCAGCTCCATCAGCCAGAGGTTTGCTTCAGCAGCCATTCTTCAGAGCGGGAGAGGGACTTGGACCCACTCCCGTTTCTGTTGGACTACAACTCCCAGAATCCTTGACCATGCTGCAAAAAGTTCCTTACTACAAAAGGTCTGGGTTTGGGGGAGATGGCAGTGCAGGCTTTTTCTGCATGAGCCGTAATCAGTGTTAACTGTGCAACCTGCATTTCTAGGTAACTTCTACAAAGAGAAGACAAAAGGGTATATAAAAGAGCCTCTGTACCATAAGTGTACCTGGGCAATTCCTGCTTGAGACACCAAGGGTGTCCCTTTGTGATCTGCCACGGAGTTGCAGGTGCCACATAACTCTTCTTTTGAACCTGTAAGTAAAAATATTTTACTGTGGCAGCACCTAGCCTTTGAGACTCCCTGCCTCTTGACATCAGGCAGGCACCTTCTCTGTTTTCTTTTCAGCACCTATTTAAAATATATTTGCATAGGCACTCCTATCCAGATATGTAGAATGCTGAAATGTGTTAATCTATTTTTGCTTACTGTTGATTTCAATAATCTCTTGAATATTTATCAATACCCATTTTAAAATATTGTCTATTGAGAATTTTAATGTGTTGTTTTTTTTTTGTAAACCACTTTGAGGGTTTTTTCTCCCTATCAAGTGGTGTATATATATTGCCATGAATTTTCTAAAATATACAATTCTTAGCTCCCATGGAGAACTCCCATCCACCTTAATTCCCTAAAACCAGCTTACCTGGAAAGGAGTGGGGAGGTGGTCACCTGAGAAGGGATTTTGATTACTTTCCTGTAAAGTGTTTAGTCATCATCACCACTCAGTGAGGCACAAGCAGAGGCAGAATGCCAAACATCTCAGGCCTCCCAAAGTACTTAACACCACTTAACTCCTGGGATAAGAGCAGAAATGGGGAGGGGGAGGAAAAGAGGAACTGGCGCGTAGCTCCCACCTAGCAGGTGGTGAAGCAGGAAAGCAGATCTGCTGCCAACAAGTAGGCTAGTTAGGAACACATCTCACAAGATGGAAGAAAAAGGGATTGAGACAATATATGCCAGGGTGATGTAGCAGGAACCCCCCCACCCCAATCATTCTGTTTGTACAAACTACACACACACACAGACACTCACACACTACATACGCCACATTTCTGTTATAAATTCATAGAAAATCAACCATACATTGGATTTGCACTGTTCCATTTTTATTTTACTCCATATGACAAGAACTGGCAAAGGGGGGTGGTTTGACCCTGGTCAGCCAAAATCCCTTCACCGTCTCAGCACATCTGCAGGAGCCCTGCCCTGATGATCCCAGACAGAAGACAATCAAGATAACAAAGAACTTGCATATGGGAGTGGATTCAGCATGGACTGAAACAAAGGACAATGATCAGATCTTCCCTCAGGGGGCAGGAAACTGCAAACTCCCCTTTGTCTCCTGGAAGTAACTCATGGGGAGGGGGGAAAGGAGGAACCAGCCAGGTGACAAGATACTCAGGTTACCACCAACTCCTCCCTCAACCCCTCCTTTCTGTAATGTATGCATGATGTTTCTGGGGGTGGGCTTGACCTAGAGGAGGGGAATTTCAAAAGTTTTTATAAGACTTGGCACACTATTTTTCTGGGTCTTTCCTCTCACCTGCGAGTGAGGGGAGCACCCTGTCGCGACAGTCTTTCTTCAATAAAGACCAGGCCTACAGGCTGCTGATTTGCTTCAATTTGCTCTGGTTTGTTATTTGTCCAAGGGAGCCCTCAGATTTTTCCTGCAACAGTGACAGATTCCCAATTCACACACAGGATGGATCTGTGATAGTTCCTACACTGTCCAAGCAAGTGGCAATCTTGAAATGAAACTTAAGTCCTCAAAATACAGGAACTTGCCTTGTACTGAGTCAGACCCTTGGTCTATCTAGTTCAGTATTGTCCACATGGACTGGCATCAGCTTTCCAGCATTTCAGGCAGGGAAAATTCCCTGGCCCCACTTGGAGATACTGCTGGGGATTAAACCTGGGACCTTCTGTATGCAAAGCAGCTGCTTTACTACTAAGCTATTACTCTTCCTCAGACTGTTAAAGATGCAGCTGTTTTCATCGCATTTCCCTCTTAAACAAATACGTTTAATACTTTTTTCCTGAAAGCCTTCATCCTCTTGTGGTGGTGAGTTTCATCAGTTAATTAAGCATTCTATGAAGAAACTTTTCTCAGCCCTTCATGACACATTGCACCTGCCCAAATTCCTTCTTCTACACAACTGTTCAGGTGCCCTTTTGCCATCCTTCACAATCCATTGCTTTGCCTTGCACAGGATTTGCTTTAACTGGAGTGGAAGGGAGCGGTTGAGGCTGCATCACAAATAATGCACAGATTATTGTCATTTCTACCAGGCTCCCAGTAAATGGCAACAGTCTGTTGTATTAAATATATGAATCTCCCTTCCTACAAGTCTCAAGGGAATTTACACTCATACAATAAAAACAATTAAAAATGGGTTTAAAACAATAGAAAAAGACAACTAAGGATTTTAAAAGCTAATACAAACCAAAGCAAAGACCCCCAAAAGAACAAATAAAATCTCCAAAGCTTATAAAACTGGAAAAGCTTATTGAAACAAAAATGTCTTCAATTCTTTCTGAAAAAACAGGTGAAAAAAGTACTAAGGAAGGGGTAAAAAATGTCTGGAGAGACCATCCTGAGTCAGTTGCACTTCAGTTGGCCTTCATAGAACAAAAGGGAAGCCTAGCTGCTGAATCGGGCCAAAGGGGGCCCATCTAGTCCAGCCATTCCCTCGGCCCAATTTATTTTCAAGCCCTCCAAGGTGGTGGACATTGCTTCATCTTGTGGGAGTGAAGCCTACAGTTTTAGCTATGTGCAGTGTAATAGAATCATAGAACTGTAAATTGCTTTCTTTTGTTCATCTGGAATATTCTAACATTCAGATTCATTGGATGACCTCATTAGGTTCTAGGGAGAGAAAAAGCTCTCTGTAGAAATTCATAAGGGAAGCAAGACCAAGACCATCTCAGAACAATTCTCCTTCAGCCAGTCTTATCCGCGGAGCAGAGTGTTGTAACTACTCTCCTGGGACCCTTTGAAAGCCTTTCTTTCTGTCTGCGACCATCTATATTCTCCCCTGCAGGGATTTTCTCAGTGCTCCTGTTTGCACTGCTAGATGTGACCTTTTCATGCAGCATATATCACAAATCATAACATCCACACTTTGTTCCATGTTTTCACAAAGCCTGTGGCCCTTTTAGCAAATGCCAACAGTAACACAGTTATTTGGTTGAGGACGCTGGTGGGAGAATGAGATTGGGACATAATCTGCTAGGTGCGTAAGGCATGCCCCTGGGAGTAAGGCAGTGCAAACATGCTGCCCAGAGGGTGTACAAGAATACAAACGGAGGAGCATCCTTCTGGCAACACCTGTACATGATACCATCACCTGGTCAGCCAAAGTGTGGTCAAATTGGCTGTTGTTGTTGCTGGCGTTTACATAAGACTTTGTGATTATGGGAAGGCAACCAATATCCTTTCTGCATGGCTGTTCCACCAAAAGCATATTTTTTCATCCTAAAATAACCTCGACTGAACACACAAAACAATCTGGCTAAAATTAAAACAGCCATTTGAAGCCTCCGTCTGCTGTTGCCTGAAGCTTTTTTGTCATCCTCCCCACCACCCTCTTTCCTCATTCTCCAAGGTCACTGAAACAGAAATGAACATCCGCATTTGGGCACATTGTCCTGGAGCCTAATGGACTAAGAAGGATTCCATGTGAGCCCCTGCAGCCCTGTCACCCCACACACTTGCTTTGTCTCAGACCCATGGCCTCAAACAAACCCCATCTCTGACCCTTGTCGCTAAAGATAAAAGCCTTTTTCTAGAGTTCTCATTCAACCTCTAGCCTTACAAGCCAGGTGATAATTAGATAATTCAAAAATCTGCATTTTTCAAAGCCATTTTGTACACGCACGCACGCACGAACATCCCAGCCCTCTGGATTCCCCTTCTGAAAGAGCATCTGTTCCTTCTGCTCAGTGGACCGGTCGGTGGGTGGGGGCACACACACGATAAGCCCGTCATCCCATCTGCTTAAAAAGGTCCACAGATGTAACTGAACTCTCCAGTGCTTTCGGTCACATGGGTAGCATTTAGAGCCTGAGGTCATAGGACGAAATTCCACTTGGGTCCTCTTCTGTGTTCTTAGCATGGTTGATGTTTAGTTGAGCCACTTGCATGCAGCAGCTGGCCTGACCTAGCTGGGACTCAGTCATGCTTTGTGCAAAAAAAGAAGAACGTATTTGCACAAAAAAATGGCACGTGTACATTTATATGTGCAGGTGGAAATTTAGAAACAATTGCTATAATTTAAAAGTGAAAACTAAAAAGTTCCATAGACTTCACAAATCTGAAAATGCCTTTGAGATAGAAAGGTGCCATAGACTGAGTCAGACCATTGGTCCACCTAGCTCAGTACTGCCTACACTGACTGGCAGAGGCTCTTCAGAGTTTCAGAGAGGAGCCATTCCCAGCCCTACCTGGAGATGCCCTTGGGGACTGAACCTGGGACCTTCTGCACACAAGACGGATACTCTACTACTGAGCTATGGCCCTTTCCTATCCTTCTCAAAGCCATTGGTCCATAAATCTATTATTCACACAGCTCAGAGGGATATGGCAGGAAGACAGGCAGCCTGGCATGACCTTATCTAATCCATTCCTCCCAACATGGGCTTCCAGCAGGGCAGAAGTAACCTTTGGAGAGATGAAGCACAGTAGCCGCGGATTGGCTCCATACTGGGCTGAGGCTCTGATTGGTAGCCAGAGGGCCCTCAGCTTGTGCTGGTGTCAGCTTAGTGCCCAAAAGATGCCAATCACTGACAAGCCAGGGTGCACAAATCTAAAATGTGTGTTTGAGCAAACTCGACAAAGACCTAGCCATCTGTCTCTTCGAGCCTCAATCAAATCCCAGCCATTACATACCACCAACAAACTAGAGGTTTTTTTTTGGGGGGGGGGTTAGACTGCAAAGGGGATGCAGCTAACAAGTATTGGTTGAAAGGGGGGGACCCACATACCCACCTTTTCATTCTGCCTCTGAGTCGATTTGGCAGTTCAGGATTTGCACATTAGAACCCATTCGGAATCTGGTTCAGAGGAAGAAAATGTATTGAAGGAGCATCCTCTAAAATTAGGCCAAAGAAGACATTGAGCCTCAGAGGCACCCAATCCACTTTGGGGGGGGTGGGAGGTTTGCTTTAAAAAATATGTTTAATATTCTCAGCTCTTTCAAGACATGTTTGCACTTGAGTCAAAGGAGCTGGAAAGAGCTGTCACTTTTTCTAAGTCAGCTCTTCATCCAGGAAAAAGCAATGGCATCGGACAAAGAAATATATATTTTATTTTTAAAAACCCCAAATCTATCTTGTAGCCTTCGGTTGATGGACTCCACCAGCAGCCCTAGAGGGATGGGAGCTTGCAATGGCATCAAGGATGATTTGTGCTTGCTATCGGCAGGTCACACGCTAAGGCTGCTGGGCCCCTTGAGGAGCTGGATGTAGTTCATCACTCTAGTACTTAACTCAGGCACT